CCCCCCCCCCGGCCAGGAAACTCATAAAACTTGGTATGGAATGAGAGATACAAATGCCTCTAACGACTTCTCCTTAATGTGATATCAATATCCCTATGGATTGCACGAGTTTCATAAAAAGTTGTGCTGCCAATACCACTTGATTCATTTTTTTATCATTCAACTCCAATATAACTTGGCCTCTGCTTCACGGTGGCATGAAACCAATATCATGCCATCGACGTGAAAGGGGAACAACAACGAGAAGTGAGAGATGGGCAATTACTCCACAACGGGGTGGCTTTGGTGCTCGATGAATCGTGTCCTCTAGTTTCCAACTTTGGACACCACACTGTGAACGACTAAGAACCTGAGATTGGAATGAGACAGGGCGGTTAGCAATGTTGCGAGATTGTACGGGGGGGAGACAACAGTGGGGGTAAATAGAGTTGATGGCGGCAGGTGAAAATGGAGAATGGAATGATCAGGGGTCGAACGAGTTGACCGAAATTGCGCGGATCGGTGAGCGGTGCTAGTGTTGACGTCGACTTTGTTCGTTTGGGAGGATGTATGTACCGAAATGCATCAGAAGTGTCGGGGGCGATGGGAAAAGTCAATTCCGCTTGAATGTCTCGGCTCCTTCTTCCAAGAAAGGAGTCCTATCCGTAAAAGATGGGAGTTTTGTGAAATGGCTTTATATGGAAATATATTGTTACGGAATCTGTGCTCCACCGCGTGGAACATTTATTGTAATTCAATAAGAATTTTATCCACAATTCAATTCAAAAAGAGAGAACGGATTTTTGGTAACATTTGAGTACTTTCTGGGCTTAAGTTGAAGAGAAGAAAATTGTCGCTGACTTTCAAGATCTTTCCAGACCTAGATTGACCTCGTAAGTCCTAATCAGTTCTCCGACGTAGTTTTCGGAGACCTTTCGAATCCTGAGTTCTTTTCGGCCCTGAGAAGTCCTCCTCTATACTACCTAGACCTTGGGATTTCACAAGGGGGTGGAGGGGGAAGGCATGTATGCGGAGGGTTGAAATTTGTACCTAACAAGGAGAGAGGGTTGCAGAATATATTTTAATCACCCTCATCTCTACCTTTGCATGCGGTGTTTAAATAAAAAATAGTGAACGTTGATTCTGTATTTATTGACCTTCCTGATGCCAATGAAACCCACGGAGGCGACGGAAAAAACGGAAAAAAAAATTTTTTTTCACTGGGTCAACGATCAGATCTTGCATTTCCTCATAGGGAAAGTCGAATTTCGGCAAAATTGAATTTTTTCGCCAAGTGAATGTTGATTTTGTATTTATTGGCCCCTCTAATGCCAATGAAACACTCGGAGGGGCCAGAAATGTCGAAATAAGAAAATTTTTTTTTCACCTGGGGCCAAAGTGTCATCTGGGATTTTGCATAGGGGTTTTGAAGAAATCAAACAATGTATAAAAAAAATCATCAATTTCTTGACTTTTTCGACCTTCTCTGACCACGCCATAAATACCTGAAAATCTTCTGTGCCATCTTTCCCCCCTCCACGGTGACGCAGCCGAAATCAATTGAAGAGGAAAGTGGTAGAACGAGATAAGTGAATTCCACTCTCAGACATTTTTTGAGAGCATCTCGAAATTCTAAGACGGCAATATTTCCCCGAAAAACCTTCTCCCTTTCGTAAACCCTGCAGAAGGGATTCTCGTGAAAATACGTCTACGTCCATTGAATTTGAGGATGTTCATGCATCCAGCCACTTCGCTATTGAATAACTACTGACACATTGCGGTACTGCGGGTTAAAACTTCCATCGATTTATAAATCGAATGACATGTCCCTGGAAATTAGTGACATGTCAAAGTGGAAGTCAAAACTTTACGATTCCGAAAAAATGATTTTTCCGACGAAAAATTGATTGTTTATAAATTATTTCCAGAAAATGCTCGTTATTTTCAAAAATTCAACTCTTAAATTATTCTATTAGTCTTCCTCCAAAATTGAAATTTCTAATTTTTTTCAGATTTTCAAAATATTTTTGAATTCAAATGCAGCTACACGGACGACATAATTTAATAGAAAAACCTATCGAATTCGTTAGAAAATTCTATTGAATTTCTATTGACCTGTGCTATTATAGTTTTTGGCCGATTCTATTGAAATGTTCAATAGAAAATATTCAGTAGAAAAAGTCAACAGAATTTAATTTTTCTATGTAACTTATTCTATTGAGATATTTTTTATAGAATTTCCCCGGCTCAAGTTTTTTCGTTTGATTTTCTTGATGAGAAGAAAAGAAAAATATAATGAAAAAACATTACAAAATTTGAGTCAAGTAAATTCTACAGAAAATATATGAAAAGAATAAGTTATATAGAAAAATCGAATTCTGTTGACTTTTTCTGTTCAATGTTTTCTATTGAACATGTCAATAGAATCAACCAAAAACTAATAGAAAGTTTAATAGAAATTCAATAGAATTTTCCAACGAATTCGATAGGTTTTTTAATAAAAATTTTCGTGCGTGTATTGCTTAATATTAAAAAATATTCTAACATTGTATTTGCCCTCCAATCGCAAGAAATTTAGTTTTTGAAAATTCATACCAATTTTTTCTCCCAGTGTAATTACACTTCAATTTCCATTAGAAGTGTCTCTCCACGTGAACATTGGAGATCAGCCCGGTTAATTGCAATCTCCCCATATCACCACACACAATGGCCAAATTGACTTAATGAGCCACCTCAGAAAGAACCCAGTCATCCACATTCTCTATATATCAATGGTGAACACAGTATGTACTCCACAAACAGGATTTGAGCGTTTATATACACAGGCGAACCCCAGTGAAACTCGGTTTAATTATCGTACCTCCCACGAGTACATCTCTAAACTGCACATCTGCGTTTCCTCGGCAGAGAGATGCGGTAAAGGGCGAATTGAGGTAAAATAGAGGGGCACAAGGGGTACCGTTGATACATCACCTTGCCAGAAGGCAAACGGCAAGTCAACATTAGATGTACAACTAGAACTTGAGACTGAAATGCCCAATTAAATTCACATCATTAAATAGAATCTCTCAATGACAAAGACCAACGGCGATGAGGGATTTTACTTACTCAATTCGCTCCTTTACATTCATTGAATTTCGGGGAGAATTTTCCCCAATGGGATCTGTTAAACCAAGTTTCACAAACTCAAGTAGACGCCTTTGGTATCGCTCTTCGACAGTAGCTCGTTCGCTCCATTAATTATCAGGGGGAAGTTTGGTGGGTAACTGGGCTTAACGAGACTCTACCCTGTGCTCCCACTTGGCCAGACTTCTCCCTTGACACTTTTTAGCGTCAAGTTCTCGGAGAATATGTAATTATCAGAGAGTAAAAGAGTCAGGGGGTAATCTACTTGAAGTTGTTATTGTTTTTTGAAAAGTTTTATGATGGATTTTTTGCCTCTTCTGTTGCAGTGACGAAATTCATTCGGATTGGAATCGCCGACAAAAACGACAATCCACCTTACTTTGACAAGAGCCTCTACGAGGCTGAGGTAGATGAGAATGAGGACATTCAACACACTGTACTCACTGTCACCGCCAAGGATCACGACGAATGTAAGTGATTTATTTTAATTATTTCATTTTTGAAAATTTCATACCGCTCATATAAATTTATTTAACCCTCGATCACTGGCATTCGGCGGTCAGCCTTCATCCGTCGCATGGTTAGCGCAGCGCCGCCGGGTTACACCGAGCGCGCTGTTGCCACCGTGGCGCTTAACGCTGTGCGCGCATTTCAAGTGTTGCAGTGAATATAGCAACACTGCCGCTCGAGGGGTCGACAGAGATTGACTCGCACCGGGCGGCGCGGCGCCGTTTTTCTGTCCGTTCAACGTTTCTTCTCTTTTTTTAGCTAAACAAATTTCCCGAGAAATAACAGACAACGTCAATGTTTAATAAAGGATTTATTAAACATTTAATTTAGGATTGAACTAGGAACTCTAATTTTTTCAGAATTTCCAAGCGTCGAGAAACACGCAAAAATATAAAGAAAAAAAAACGGCCGGCGCCGTGCGCATTGAGCGAGTGATTGAGAGTTGAAAACCCCCTTCATTAAGCCATCATGCTGTTCCCATTAACAATACTAATAATTGTTAGGCAGAGGATACAAATAAAAATCACATCTGCCTTTGACCCACAACGTTTCGAGAGATAAATTTACTACTATTTTTTTCAAAACTAAAAAACAACAAATACCTATCGGCACAAAAAAAATTTACGGTCGAGTGATTTTCATTCATTTTCTTTTTAGATTTCTCACTTCATTTAACAGAAAATTGACGAAAATCTGTATTATTCACTGCAGAATATCAAAATTATTTTTTAAAATTATTTATAATATCAAAATTCTCGAATTGACATTTTCTCATTTCTTATTCAAGAGTTAATAGAATCAAAAGAAAGAGTAAATAAGATTACAAACTGTGGGAAACTGAAAAACAAACAATTCCTGAATTAGGAATACAGAAATTAGCTTCGGAAATTGACGAATTAAATTTTCGATGGAAATCTCTTTAATTAAACAGGAATTCAAATCTCTGATTCACGGATTGTTCCAAAAACAACAACCGTGGAGTTGTGGATGATTGCGTTTGTATTTGACGAATCAATATTATTCACCATTATTCATGAGATTCGTGCAGTTAATTCCAATAATTGAAATGAAATTGATTAATGTAAATGTTTGACGGAATATACCAATTTGAATTCTGAATAATTAATAAGGCAGTGCATACCCCTTATTCCTCGCGTTTTATTCAGAATTTACGATCTCGTTTGTTTATTCACGAAAATTTGATGGATATCTCCGCAATGAACGATTTATAGCTCAATCCTACAGATTTACTATTTCATTCAGGTTTTGTATGGCATTTTTTACTATCACGAACGTAGAGTTGAAAATACTGCGTATGTATTTTTTCATTTAAAAAAATAATAGATCCGAAACATGTCACATGCGATGAAAAGACATTGTGATGATAAAATTTCATGCAAACCCCCAACAGAATATTTCAACCTGTACACAGAAAAACCTAAACGTAAATTTCGATTCCATAAACGTAATTTACTATTTCGTATTCGGTAAATTGCGCTTAAAGTTACCGTAAATTACGATGATTTTTTTCGTATTTTACATTTACTTATCCGCAATACATCCGTAATAGATTTGAATGAAGCGATAGAAATGCGATGATTTGATATCCTGTTGCATAATCAAAATAGATATGAATAATTGAATCAACACTCCAATCCCCTGAAAAAAGAGAGAGACAAACTAATTGCGTTCCACACAAAAAATCGTTGTTCATGAGTTTGAATTAATTATTAATTGATTAAAAATTAGAATGGTATGCATCTGTTGTTGTTGATAGATCTATTCAATAGTCCATAGGTAAGTGCCAAAATGCTTCTGGAATAGAAAAATAATTTCAATTCAAGATCAATCAGTTTTATTCTAAGGATATTAACGGTGTTTGTTAAATTTCGTGCATAGCAAAAGAAGAATCATTTACGCCTAACCTTATTTCTGAATATAACGACTAGACTAAAATTTCTACAAGAACTTTTTTATAGCTATCATTCTCCGTACAAAAAAGGTCTCCATCTAATTTTGCTATCTCCGTTAATTTCAAAATATGCCGAGACAACTCAATGTGAAAAGAAATCGATTCTACTCATTATATTACGTTCCTAATACTATAGACAAAAATTGATTTGAAATGAATCATGATCTAATGTGGAAAAAAGCTATTTCAAGCGCAAAACACGATGTTTTTTTCACAAATTATGCGTAAGAAAATCGTTAAATCGTAAATTACGTTTAGCAAAACGTAATTTACGTTTAGGTTTTTCATGTGTGTAGTAAATGAATGTTCTCATGATTTTATCGAATTATCAGAGACGTTCAAAATTAATAAACTTCATTAATTACTTTCCGCTACGTGCCACGACATCCCCAATATAAAATTGAATCTTCACATTCCCCGATAATTTGCGCCCCCCGAAATATTTCATCACTCACTGTTAAAATTTCACTCCCGACAGCCTCGCGTATTCGATATGAGATCACAAGCGGTAACCTAGGTGGTGCATTCGCGGTGAAGAACATGACTGGGGCAATTTATGTTGCGGGTGCGCTGGATTACGAAACGAGGAAGCGGGTAAGTGCAAACGAGGCGGAAGAAAAAATCTATACACCGCGATTATTTTCCTCCACATGCCAATTTGATGGAAAAAAATACAGGAGAAGTTAAATCGACAGAAATGCCAATAACAGTCGTTATCAATTGCTGGCGTGTTCTCTGACTCGGAGACATTCATTTCATGTACTTTTTCCATTCATTCGCAGTACGAGCTCAAATTAACAGCATCAGACAACCTCAAGGAGAACTACACAACAGTCGTTATTCATGTTAAAGATGTTAATGATAATCCACCAGTGTTTGAACGCCCAACTTACAGAACACAAATCACTGAGGAGGATGACAGAACTTTGCCGAAACGTGTTCTTCAGGTTTGTTATCGTTTTACCGTGAAAAGTTTAATTTAATTTGATGGAATGGGTACATTAGGTGATGAGATGAACTTTGGGGGAGTTTAATACTGGGTAAATGAGGGGAAACTCGAGTTATTTTATTGTTATCTCCAGCTTTCAATTCAGTATTTCATTCTTGGGTAGAAAAACACCTCTCTGCAGCCAGAGAAATTCTTCATTTGAGTTACATAAACTTTATTTGAATCAAACAAATGGTCTGAATCGTATTTGCTTTTTTATTCACAGCAAACGAATACTTTGTTCGAAAATAAACAGAAGTTGATTGAATCGAGATAAGGATTTCTTATTTGCATCTTATGGTTGCAATATTTTCATTGAAATAAATATACGAGTTGATTTATTTCTAACGAAAAATTTGTTCCATGAAGAATTTGAAGTAAACAGTTTTATTCCATCCGAAATCATAATTTCTCCGGATATGAGTATGAACAGAGCCAAATGATGACCAATTTATCGTTATTGTCCAGAAGTTATTACATTCGAATTCACTCGATAAATTTTTCTAGTACATCTTCATGGTTTTGCTACTTATTTTAGTCCTTCACGGAAAAAAAATATCCTCGAAGTGGGTATGTAATATACTGGAATCCGATATATTTATATAACATATAAAATGGATTCTCAGTCGATATTGGGATAAATTCATTATCTGGGTAATTGTATACGTCAAATTGGTGACTCAAAGCGAAGAGGAAAAAGGAATGGAAACAAAAATAAAAAAGTGACACAATTATATTGTGATGAAGTGCAAGTTTGGGGCCTTCCAAACCTCCACCTCGTGCAGTGACTCGGAGCAGTCCTCAGAGTGAGGAGCTCAATGGCCTCCCAGAATGTCCCAAAGTACGACCAATTGCCCCTTGAAACCCACTAGTACTTCGCAAAACCCCCAATTGCCAGCCGAAAAGGCGAATCCGCGGAGAAAGAAAGTATGAAAATATTTCCCTGAGTGCTGCTCGTGATTATTGCCCGATCTCACTTAAATTCGGACGGCGCGTCGTCAGTACATGCCGTCTCTTATAGACGCAACGTACAATATTTCAATGCGAGGAAGTCCCCAGAATATTATTCCGGAATTGAGGATAAAATATTCCGGATTCCGGAATTTTATTCTGGAATCGAGCATTAAATATTTCGGATTCCAGAATTGAGGATGAAGTATCCCCGGAATATTATTTCGGAATCCAGAATATACTAATACTCTGGAGTCAGGAATATGTGTATTTCTAAATATCACATTCGAGGATAATGTTTTTCCTTGTTAACGAAAAGCGTTGACAGCCTGAGTTATTACAAGTACTCGTCCTTCCGTAAACACCAATCTAAATGAATGAGCGAATCACTAAAAAGTTGCGCAATAAACGCAACGTCCATTACAACATTGGAGCATTTGCCTAATTACAAGAATGTTGATAACATCCAAAGGTTCAAATTACTATCAACTCCAAGAAATCCCTCCCAGTCTTTAATCATTGACAAATCCGTAGCAAGCCATCTCAATTATCCAGAAGGCGCCCAGTAATTCATCGCGCATTACGAGTATTCTGAAAGAAACTAAAACTTCCCTGAAATTATCCACTTAAACTCCCCTTATTACACGAGTGAACATCAAAGAAAGCAGTTGAGAATTTTTAATACCAGCATTCAAGGTACCTTGAGCCCTCAATTGCAGCAATTTGAAATCAGAAATATTCCAAAGTTTGAGAAACTCCTTACATTTGCAGAATTACCCAGAAATTATACTCCCTTGGTACACTCATCTCATCTCATCATTAAACCAAATTGTGGAATAACTAAAACTCAAAGTTTCGTTGCATCTGGGGAAATTTGTGAATTTAATAATGTTTACAATCCAGGTACTGGCAACGGACGGCGATAAGGACAGGCCCCAGAATATTGTTTACTTCCTGACCGGTCAGGGAATTGATCCCAACAATCCGGCAAACAGCAAGTTCGATATAAATCGTACAACTGGGGAAATTTATGTTTTGAAGGTAAACACATCGATTTTCCCAATCTCCCTTCCTCCAACTTGCCGAGTTATTTATTCTCCTTGTTCTGAGTGCCATCTGTTGTTTCAAAAGTTCCCAAAGTACTTCTTCTTCTTTCTACTTTTCCGATTGTTTTTCTTTTATTGTCCCTCACATTATTGAATTAATGGTTCTTCCAGCCACTGGACAGAGATCAACCCAATGGCAGACCCCAGTGGAGATTTACGGTGTTTGCTCAAGACGAGGGTGGCGAGGGTCTCGTTGGTTATGCTGATGTCCAAGTAAATCTCAAGGACATCAACGATAATGCACCCATCTTCCCGCAGGGTGTTTATCATGGAAATGTCACGGAGAATGGCACATCAGGTCATTATTCATATTGTACAAATTCTGAGATTGATGGATACTGCAGTGAGAAAAAATTCTAATGCCTGGACCGTATTTACTTGAGACAAGCAATTTTCCTTCAATCGGTTAATTCTCACAGATATCTGAACTCATGGGGCTCGAGAAATGTCTCGTGCTCTAAAATATTCTTGCTTTCAAGTATGATTTCGTCGCAAATGAACTCACTCAAATCGCGTGGAAGAATCGTCTATCTTCAAGTATTCATTGTTTTCATGATTTTTGTTATACACTTCCAATGTTTCGATACACTGTTAGAAATTTCTTGAAATTGCAGTCGCCGTCATCTAAATTTGCGATAGTATGAGATTGAATTCAATTTCAGGTGAAAGCGTTCACAAAATTTCTTATTCGTCTTGAAAATTCAAGAAAATTGGGGTTTTCGTGTCTAAGAATCCTTGATTTTTCAGTGAAAGCTTGAATTTCCAAACTCATCGTGATGTATTTTAATTATTTTATTATAATTATTATAATTATTTTATTTTTGAAAATTTTCAACCGCTCGTATAAATTTATTTAAAAACCTCCTTCATTAGGTAATTTTTAAAGTTTTTCAGTGCATTATGCCGTCACCATTAGCAATACTAATAATTACTAAGCAGAGGATATAAATAAAAACCACACACTGTTAGAAATTTCTTGAAATTTCAGTCAACGTCATCTGAATTTTTGATGTTGTGAGGTCGAATTAAATTTCAAATGAAAGCGTTCGCTAAATTTCTCATTCATCTTAAAAATTAAAGAAAGTTAGATTTTTCACATTCAACAATCATTGATTTTTCAATGAAAGCTTGAATTTTCAAACTCATCGTGAAAATTGAACATCACATGGAATACAATTTTCAATAAATTGAGAATTCAGAAAAGTCGCTTGAATTTTTGAAATTTTCAATGTTATTCAGTGCCGTATGGACCTGAAAATTGAGAATTACTTGAATATTCAAGAAATTAACTGATTCGTCAATGGAGAGATATACAGAAATTTCATGTCACTTCGTCGTAGTTAAATTTGAGTATATATGGTCTACATATTAGGAAATTTTTCTCTCAGTGTACTTATCGCAAAAATAAGTTGAAAAAAATATGTTGATTTCGGAGAATTGGAAATTCTGGAAGGTAATCGTAGTTTTTGCGCTGACGGGGAGTGGAGTTTCTTCTGTTCAGAACTTTTTTGAGGGGGGAATCGTCTTGGGAATGGTGAGAATTTTTGTGGGAGATCGGAGAGAGAGGAAAAATAGTTTGTTTGCATTAAATAAACTTCATTTGAATAAAGTACATGAAATTATTCATAGAGTTCGTAATAAAGAGTTTTATTTCATTCGAATGCGTAATTTCCACGGTCGCGTAATTATGAATTATTATGAGGCGCTTTGAACGCTTTTATCTTATTTTTTAGTAGCGAGAAGAGTATTTCATACTTAACACAAAGATGAGTAGATAAAAAATATGTTCATTCCGGGGAATTGGGAATTTACATTTTTCAAAAAAATTGTAGTTTTTGCGTTGACGGTGAGACATTTCTTCGGTTTAGTACTTTTTTGAGGGGAAAATCGTCTTGGGAATGGCGAAATGTTTTATGGGGAAGTGGAGTGAGAGGGGAAATAGTTTATTTGGAGAATAAAATGGGGTTAATTTCATTCAAGTCCGTAGTTTCCATGGGCATCCAATATTTCTACCTTGTTATGCACTTCCAATGTTTCAATATATAATATATTCATGATATAACGCGAACGATAGTGATAAATGAGAATTTATTCGAGATCCGTGAAGCGCAAACCTTCTGAGGTTTAAGGCGTTGAAAATAATTTACATCTCTCAAGTAAATGTGGTCTACACATTTGGAAATTTTTCTCTCAGTGTATTTTATGGAGATGTAGTGAAAGGATATTTGTCGATTCCCCTCCAACTTCAGTTCTTTGAACATATCTGGGAACTGGTTCTTTTACCACTCTCATCACTCTGATAAGAAGTGATGTGAGAGGAATTATAAAAAGGATCCCTTGTACCTGATGAAAAGGTCTTCCCACATTTTTCTCGATTGATGCGGTAGAAGAATATTGAAGCCAATGGAAAGATGTTCCGGATAGTAATGAGTAATTTTCAAAATAACTCAGTCGAGCGCTTGGGGAATTCATCATTCTCTCTGAAACATCTTGCAATTTTCTTCAATCTTCTAGGCCTTCACTTCATCAATCTGGAACATGTTTGAACCAAGAGCTCTTTTAATTCTAGAAATCTATTCTTTTCCCTGTGTTCCACTTCAATACAAAATTCACATCGGTGCAGTTAAGGGGAGATAGCAATGGAGTGCTGATGTGTTTATTACTTCAGTTTTAATTTTAAATAAAAATAAAAAATTAGGTTTCAATTTTTTTTATTGACGGAATCTTTAAAAGTAAATTTTTTTTTATTGAAGAATCTTTGTGACGCAATTCTCAATCGATAAACTTAAATTTTAGTGTACTCATACAGTACATATGCAAAAATATAATTAAATGAGGCTTTTTAAAAATCTTCATTCCTTGATTTTTGGGGTTTTTCTCTCGAAATTGTTGAAGGCGAAAAAATCTGAATAATTGTTTAAATTAGATTATATAATAAATAATTAAGGTATGAATTTTTCCCGATTTTTCGCATCATATTTTTTAAAACAGATAGGAGTATTTAACTCTTATCTTTTCAAGATTTTCGAGTTCAGCAAATTAAAAAAAAATTCTACAAACTCAAAAAATGTTTAGATTATGTGACGCAAAATTCGGGTCAATCGGTTGAAAATTGCATCATAAAGACACTTCTAAAGATTTTTCTCCTCTAAAGCATCTTTCTGATAATTAAAAAACTAAAACTTAATTTTTTCTTATTTTTTCCATTAAACCTAAAGTAGTACCTCCCCAACACGATAGATTAAGATCCCAGGGGTTGAGAAATTTCAGTGCGGTCTCCCCTCAATCCAAATAGCTTGAATTAATTCATTTAATCCTACAAACAGGAATGTTGGTAATGACAATGACCGCCATCGACTACGACGACCCAAGCGAGGGAACAAATGCCAAGCTAATCTACTCAATCGAGAAGAACGTAATCGAAGAGGAGACGGGCTCCCCGATTTTCGAAATCGAGCAAGAAACAGGTGTCATAAAAACCGCAGTCTGTTGTCTCGACAGAGAGCGAACACCAGATTATTCCATACAGATAGTCGCAGTGGATGGTGGATCGTTAAAGGGTGCGTATATCAATTTTTTACGATACCTTCATAAATTTTCCATGATGTCTATGACCGTTAAAACCAACGGTACGATAAAAAAGAATCGTTAACGGTAAAAAAGAACATGGCAACGATCCTCTATGTTGTGATCGTGTTTCAGGTACGGGTACTGCATCGATACGAGTGAAAGATATAAATGACATGCCACCACAATTCACCAAGGACGAGTGGTTCACAGAAGTGGATGAAACTGAGGGAACGACTCTACCGGAAATGCCGATTCTCACAGTCACTGTACATGACGACGACGAGACCAACAAATTTCAGTACAAGGTATGGAAAAAGTTAGACGCGAATAAAATTTCTCTTTTCGTACTTCTGGACGATAAGCTGTGAAAAATAAGGCGAAAACGAGTGGAAAAAAAGTACTGCTTCCTAGTTTTTCTTTTGTCGTTTTTTTTTATCTACTTTGATGTTCTTTTTCCTTATCTTCCCTTCACTTTAGGTGCATTCGTGCTTGATGCAAATGGCCAAGTTACTTCTTCCCTTTTTTGCGTGTGATTCGACTCTTACTATTCATGATGTTTTTTAGGTGCTTGACAATAGTGGATTTGGAGCAGACAAGTTCACTATGGTAAGAAACAATGATGGCACTGGCTCGTTGAAAATCGTACAGCCATTAGACTTTGAGGATCAACTCCAGAGTAATGGATTTCGATTCAGAATTCAAGTCAACGACAAGGTAAAACACTGCTGCACTTTGAGTTGTTGAACTAGTTTATAAAGCGTGAAATTAAATTTTCAAAGTTTAATCAACATTCTGGTTATCCCTGAAGGGTGAGGACAATGATAATGACAAGTACCATGTGGCCTACTCGTGGGTTGTCGTTAAGCTGAGGGACATTAACGACAATCAGCCACAATTTGAAAAAGCAAACATTGAAACAACTGTACTTGAGGACGCAAGCGTTGGCAATAGTTTAGAAACATTTAGAGCCACTGATCCGGATCAGGGCGGCAAGAGCAAAGTGTCTTACGCTATAGACCGGAGTTCAGACCGCAAACGACAGTTTCACATCAACGAAAATGGCACAGTCACTATTCAACGAAGTCTCGACCGCGAGGAAACACCACGACATCAAGTAATTTATCACTTTTTTTCTACACAGAAAAAAATTAACGTAAATTATGTTCACGAAGTCGGTTTTTGCGCTTCGAGTTGAAGCCAAATTACTTCAACTTAATTTACGATTTCGAAATCGTAAAATACGCGTCAAATTAGGCTTAGAACACGTAATTTACGTTTAGGTTTCTCTGTATGTACTTTTATCTAGAGAAAATCGAAATAACGTTAAACTTGGACTATAAAATCCTTCGAAGCCAAGTGGTTCCTAAAGATCGAGATAATTTTCAGGTAAAAATTCTCGCAATAGACGATGGAATTCCGCCAAAAACAGCCACTGCAACGTTAACCGTCATCGTACAAGACATTAACGATAATCCACCCACATTCCTGAAGGATTACAGACCCGTGCTCCCTGAATTTGCAACACCAAGGAGAGTAGTTGAAATTTTGGCAACCGACAACGACGACAGGTCAAGAAGCAATGGGCCACCCTTCACATTCCGCATGGATCCAAATGCAGATGACATAATCAGAGCAAGTTTCAAAGTTGAGAGTGATAACAAAGGGGCTAATGGAGATGGAATGGCCATTGTGTCGTCACTGAGGACTTTCGACAGAGAACAGCAGAAGGAATATTTAATACCTATTATTATCAAAGACTCGGGAAACCCACTGATGGCTGGTACAAGTACTCTGACTGTTGTCATTGGTGACATTAATGACAACAAGATGCAGCCGGGCTCGAAAGACATCTTTGTGTACAATTACGCGGTAAGTTGACTTCCAAATAATCAAATGAATTCTATTCATAGCAATTCTGAAAAACAATTGTTTCACTTCTCGCGATGCGCCACAAATCAAAACGTAAAAATATTATTCCTGAAAAATCCATTGAAATAGAAAGAGTATTACCATCTCTTTGACGATATGAAAGCATGAAGAACGTTTCACCGAGAAAACCAATATTCCAGATATTCTTATTGGATTGCCGGGGATTCTCTCACAACATTTTGATTCACGAATTTCCTCCTCATTCCACACAGATCCAATATTATTTTTCCACCTGTTTATGCGGAAAACATTCCTCAACAAAAAGAGAAATAAAATGACAAAGCTGCGCGCTCGATTATAGCTCCTCATCTGCAATTGACTACTGCAATTGCATTTTTTTTATCAATGAGGATAATTATTGTTGCTAATAAATTGGCAATTTGCTTCCGAATGGGTTCTCTTTTTTAATTCTTATTTCGCTATTCTCTTCTTGTATATTTTCACGTCGTAGTACTATCATCAATTGAAATGTCATTAAAATTTTGTCAAATTTTGTACCAAGGAAACCTTTTTTGTTAAAAATAGTTTTTTCTCTTTGTGCACAATATATATACATATGTACAAACACCATCTAAAAATCGCCTATTCACATTTTCACATTCACGAATCCTATATTGACCCTCATTATACCCATCATGACCCATAATCTTAACCTTATGGCCCTCAGACGCTTAATCTGACCCTTGTGACCCTAATTTTCATCACCAGAAGTCGATTTGGATTTTTATAATATAGGGAAATATATTGAGACTCTCATTTTGAAGACCTTTGTGGCCCTTAGTTTATGACCTCCATGACCCTTATTTGGAGCCTTAATTTGATCTTTGTGATCCTTAATCTGACCCTTGTAATCCTCATTTGGATCCTCAATCTGACCCTTATTGTAACTTTCCTGACGTTTATTTAAGCCCTTGTGATCCGTATTCTGACCGTCATGACCTTTAATTTGACCCTTGTAACCCTTAATATGATCGTGACACTTATTCTGTCTCCCATGATCCTTACTCTGACCCTATTGACCCCCATGGTCCTTATTCTGATCCTCATGAGCCTTCTTTTGACCATCGTAACGCTTATTCTGACCATCATGACCCTTAATTTGACCCTCATAACCCTTAATATGACTGTTGTGACACTTATTCTGTCTCTCATGGCCCTTACTCTGATCCTATTAACCCTCACGACCCTTATTCTGACCCTCATGATCCTTCTTTGGAGCCTCGTAACCTTTATTCTGACCGTCATGACCCTTTATTTGACCCTCATGACCCTTATTTTGATCCTTGCCATCCTCGATTTTAGTCTTAATCTCTAGTACCAAATTTCCATCACCACAAGTCGATTTGGATTTTTATAATATAGAGAGATGTAGTTACACTAACAAAAAAAAATTGGAAACTTACGTGAACTCTTCTTTACAGGGACAATCTCCAGACACTGAAATAGGTCGTGTTTATGTTTATGATCTGGATGACTGGGACTTGCCAGATAAGAAATTCTACTGGGAGGGTCTTGAACACGCACAATTCAAACTAGACGAGGATTCCGGGATGATTTCAATGAAATCAGGAACCCACGATGGCAAATATCACCTGAGATTCAAAGTTTATGACAGAAAGCACACGCAGACTGATGTGCCAGCTAATGTAACTGTAACTGTGAAAACAATACCCCACGATGCTGTACTCAACTCCGGCTCTATCCGCATAGCTGGAATATCCGACGAGGATTTCATTCGCGTGTGGAATTACAAGGATTCTAAAGTGACGCGAAGCAAGGCTGATCTGTTTAGAGATAAACTAGCTAATTTATTGGACATTGATAGGGACAATGTTGATGTGTTTAGTGTACAGATGAGAAGAAAGCATCCACCAGTGACTGACATAAGATTTGCAGCGCACGGTTCACCTTATTACAAGCCAGTTAGATTAAACGGTATTGTTCTCATGCATCGCGAGGAAATTGAGAGAGATGTTGGAATCAACATCACAATGGTGGGGATCGATGAGTGTCTGTACGAGAATCATATGTGCCAAGGAAGTTGTACTAATACTCTCGATATTAATAATTTACCGTACATGGTGAATGCTAATAAGACTGCACTAGTTGGAGTTCGTGTTGATGTGATTGCACAGTGCACTTGTGGTGCGAGAAACTTCAGTACAACTGAGTCGTGTCGGACGAGTCCGTGTTACAATGGGGGTAGGTGCATCGAGGGACGATTTGGATTAACGTAAGTCAAATATTGGGCGAATTAAGAGGAGCAAGTGACTTTAGTTGTTACTTCCGTCGACAATGATAAAGTGATATTTAAGCTCTCAAGTACGGCGTCTGTACGTCGTGTGGACCGGTGCGAAAATGCGTGATTGTTTTCAGAATTGAATACTTCGGAAACTTGCAGATAATGCAATCGGACCAACATCTTACGAACGTCAATAGTAGCTTCAGGGATAGCCATGTTCATAAATCATAATTACTGTTAAATTTTGAAGATGTCTTTTAGTCAATATCATTCTTCAATTTTTGATTATTTTAGTAATCATCAATTTAAATATTCAGATTCCGGACTATTTTAGTAATCAATAATTTAGGTAGCAAGATTTTCAATTATTTGGACCATTGGTAATCCCTTTTAAGAAATTAGAAGTATTTACTTAATGGAAAATTCACAGTTCCATATTATCAAATATTTAATTCATCATCAATCGCAAATTTAAATTAGTGATATCATACTATTTCTATATTTTCATGAGAATATTGAAACCTTTATCAATGTAAGTCACAAATTCCTTTAATATTGATGGCTATCCTTGTATAGCTTTAATCTCATATAGTTTTATAATTTTTCATCCATTGGAAGTCATCGAATCTCAGTGAGATTGAGCACAAGTTACCGAATAAGATATGCAGTTACTGTAATCTCGAATTCGATACTATTGAACATCTCGTTTTAAATTGTCCTTTAGCTCACAATCAACGCACGTCTTCGTTTTGTAACTTTCCCCAATTTATGGATCTCTTAGTAATATAAGCTTCAATACCAACTTTTATAGAAGCAAAAACTTTATACAAATTCACTTTAATTTGCCTAGCAGCTAGGCCTCATATAGATTTACTGGAAACTTCATTTCGCACTTCGCAAAATTTATTAGTTTCTGTACCTGATTATCTCCAGGGTTTGTACGTCCCTTAATGTCCCTTAACTTTAGTAATGATCTTCTCCATATTCAACAATTCAGTGACGCAAACAAATGTATATGTTTTAAAAAATCTGACTTTACTTATTATTAAAGCTATGTATTTTTAATTTTCCCCCTGCACACGCACGAAAAAATTTAATAGAACAACCTAGCGACATCGCTAGACAATTCTATTGGATTTCTGTTGAACTTTCTGCTAGTTTTTCAACGATTCTGTTGAGATATTTTCTATAGAAATTCCTCGGCTTAAATTTTCCAAGTTTTTCTCGTTCTGTTTTTCTTTTCTTTTCATCCAGAAAATCAAACAAAAAACTTGGAAAATGCGAGCCGAGGAAATTCTACAGAAAATATCTCAATAAAATAACTTGTATTGAAAAATTAAATTCTATTGACTTTTTCTGTTGAACATTTTCATAGAAACCCAATAGAATTATCTAGCGAATTCACAACGTTTTTCTATGAACGTTTTTCATGTGTGCAATGCGGATGTTTCCCAAATGCGAAAATAAAAATAAAGCAAATAAAATACTGCACAACTTTTCTTTTATTGGTGGCACTTATTTCTGAGGTAAATTTGTTGGACAGTTAAATGTTTGATTTAACACATCAAATATTCCCTTGCAGGTGCCAATGCCCAGCGGGTTACAATGGACCCAGATGTCAACAGACTACCAGAAGTTTCAAAGGCACTGGATGGGCTTGGTATCCGGCCCTAGAGATGTGTGACAATAGCCATCTTAGTTTTGAGTTTATCACACGAAGACCCGACGGTTTGTTACTCTACAATGGACCCATTGTACCACCAGAGCCTGATGAAATTATGGTTTCTGGTTAGTAAACAGTTGATAACTTTGGGGGAAATGGGGAGTTGGTTAATGTACGTTGGGGTTTGGAATTATTCGGTCATTTTTCATTGGTGGTTTTAGATTTTATATCTGTGGAGTTGGATCGGGGTGTTCCGAGGTTGCTGATTGATTTTGGTTCTGGTACTTTGGAGCTCAAGGTGAAGACCAAGAGGCCGTTGGATGATGGGGAGTGGCATCGATTAGATATTTTTTGGACTACAGAGGTGAGGATAAATTTCTTCTTCACCAATAGAGTCTTAAGTGAAGCAGGTCTCGTAGTGGAATTGATCACATCTATTTTTAATGGGAAAAAACAATAATCCCTTTCATTGGTGACTATTAGCCACTATGCAAATTCAACATAACACATCAATTCAACACATAATTTATTCAACACATACAGATCGGGCAGTGACACATACGGAAAAAATATTACGGAGTCCAGAATAATATTCCGAAATTCGCAATATTTTATGCTCAATTCCGGAATACCATTGCGGTACCCGGTACATATAATTTTCAAATGGATTCTCAGTGTATATTGGCGTAAATTCATTCTCTGCATGATAGTATACGTCAAATTGGTGACTCGAAGAGAAGAGGAAAAAGGAATGGAAACGAAAATAAAAAAGTGACACAATTATATTGTGACGAAGTGCATGTTTGGGGCTTCCCAAACCTCCCCCTCGTGTAGAGACTCGGAGGAGTCCTCAGAGTGAGGAGCTCAATGGCCTCCCAGCAACTTCAAACTGTTCAGGAGGTTGCTGGTGGCAATAATAATTCAAATCCCAAAAGAATGTTCCAAAATACGACCAATTGCCCCTTGAAACCCACTAATAATTCGCAAAACCCCAAATTGCCAGCCGAAAGGGCGAATCCACGGAGAAAGAACGTAGGAAAATACTTCCCTGAGTGGTCCTCGTGATTATTGCCCGATCTCACGTAAATTCGGACGGCGCGTCGTCAGTACATGCCATCTCTTATAGACGCAACGTACAATATTTCAATGCGAGGAAGTCTCCGGAATATTAATCCGGAATTGAGGATAAAATATGTCGGATACCGAATTATTGTTCTGGAATCGAGAATTAAATATTTCGGAGTTCGGAATCTCATTCCAGAATTGAGAGTGAAGTATCCCGGATAATGGAATATTCTTCCGAAATCCAGCATATGATATACCGGATTCAGAAATACACATATTCCTGATTCCAGAATATTATATACCGCATTCAATGCTATTTTTTTCTCTGCATCCCGAGTCGAGGATTTGGTTCTGATTGGACGTACACAGGTCTTTCAAGATCTCTCCAGACCTAGATGGACCTGGTAAGTCCTAATCAGTTCTGCGACGTACTTTTCCAGAGACCTTTCGAATCCTCAGTTCTTTTCGGTCCTGAGAAGTCCTCCTCGATGCTACCGAGAACGCGTGATTTTACGAGCGGGTGAAGGGGAAGGCATGTATGCGGAGGGTTGAAATTTGTAGCCAACGAGGAGACAGGGTTGCAGAATATATTTTAGCCACCCTCATCTCCCCGTTTGCAGGCGGTGTTTAAATAAAAAATAGTGAACGTTGATTCTGTATTTATTGACCCCCTGATGCCAATGAAACCCTCGGAGGTGACAGAAAAGGGGAAAAAAAATTTTTCATTTTCACGTGGGTCAAGGGTGAAAGTCGATTTTCGCCAAAATTGAATTTTTTCGCCAAGTGAAAGTTGATTCTGTATTTTCTAACAATTCTGATGCCAATGAAACCCCCGAAGGCGCGACAAAAGTCGAAATAAAATTTTTTTTTTCACCCCGAGCCAAAGAGTCAGATTTTCTGTTTTTCCAGAGGGAAAGTCGACTTTCGCCTAA